AACAACAACAATATTTTCGATGAAATCTGAAAAAAGTCACGTTTCCTTAATTACAATGAAAGAAAATCAGTTGCGTCTCGGTGTTGTCCGTCCCTCGGCCCCCACGGCTGAGCGTCTCGGCCCTCAAAGCAAAATATAAACCACAGACACAGAAAGAAATACAAAATACGAAATACAAAACGCATAATTGGCTCACGCAAAAATGAGAAGAAAAAAAAAATAATAAAAAAAAGAAAAATACAAAAACTGATTGAGTCTGCGATACACATCTAGAGTTTTGGAAAAGAGATAGCAATATCGATGGGTAGACAAAGTGCGCGGGACTCTTCCATAATCATAAAAGCGGCGATCACAAAAACAAAACTAAATTCGGTGCACACACACACACATATATATATATATAGGGAGAGGAGTTGTGCTCGGGTTACTTCTTTTTCATATTGAAGCCAATCTGTGGTTGTGAAGACAATAAAAAGTCGAAGCTACCTCCAAAAAAACGCAAATCGGAATTTGGAGTATAATAAAAAAAAAAAACAAAAAAAAAAAAAGAAAAAAAATTAAAGAACAGGCAACGAACAGCTCTAAAGGGCCTGAGAGACAAAACCCAACGACGACGAAACTAAACATTTTTTATGGCGCACAACTGAAGAAAATTAAAAAACCAAAATGAGAGAGAAAAAACAAAACAAAAACAAAAAAAAAAAAAAAGTTCGTAATATATTTAATATATGAGAGTTTGGCCAAGACAAACAAACAATAAACCGAAACAATTCTGAAACAAAAAGCCAAATATTTGACTAAAACAAACTGGGAATCGGGCCAGTTTGGAGCAGGCCCGAGCAGGCCAAAACCGAAAAATAACTGAGTCGCCCAGCGAGTGAGAACAACAAATACTTGCCAGCTGCTCGTCATTGTTTGCTCGACTTTTGGCACTGCACGTGGGCGCAGGGCGGCCAGTTGAGGCCAGTTCAAGCCAGGCCAGGCACGGCTCGGGGCTGGACGCGGCGTTCCATCGATTGGCGGCCAGCGGAGCTGAGCGCAGCTGCGAATGGAATTCGCCATCATCATCGAGGATAATTGCAGCTTCATCAGCAGCAGCAGCAGCAGTCGCAGACGAGGTGAACTTTAATTTGTTTGCTTCCTCTCCCCGTCCTCGCTCTAGAGAACCACAAACACACAAAAATATGCCAAAGTTGGAGCTGCGAAAGTTAACAGAGCACAAATATAAAAGCACCCTGAGAGTTTCACAGCGAAAGTTCTGCTATTATAATTAGTATTCCACACAGTTTATAATTATTTCCATACAGCTTAACCTAGGTACAAAGTGGCTGAGACATCAAAGCATTTGTACTTTCAGTTGGTATTCATAATTAGTGGGATAGGTATTATTAAGCTGAAAAGTGAGGGAGATTTTGAATTTAGCATTTAAATTTTGCTGGTATAAACTATTGTTTGTGATCGGGCCTGTAAGCTCTGAAGTTCATTCAGTTTTTCAGCTCAGTTCAAAGAGGCCTAGTATTATTTATTTGAAGCTTAAAATTAAAGTTAAAATATTTTAAAAATTTACATAAAAGCACTATCATCTTAATTATTATTATTAAATAAATTAACTTTAAATACTGTCGAAAGTATGAATACTATGCCGTTTGGCCCAGTTCTTCAATCAGCTGCTTCGGCCTACTTCAGCCCATGCAAATTGTTAGGCCAGATCCAATAGCATAAATTTATGGCAAATATCACGTAATTGTACCAAATTCAGAGCCCTCAGAGCCCTACCACACGAGCACTCAGCCAGCCAGCTAGCCAGGTCGGCAGACAGCTGGACAGAGCGTTGCCGTTCCCATCTAGGCCACACCTTTTTTGCCAGCGACTATATCATTTTCGAGCGGGAGCGGAAATGCTATTTAATTAGAGGCGATCAAATGCCGCCTAACTCCAACTTCAACTCCAACTCTGACTTCGACTCCGACTGTGACTGCGACTGCGACCTCGAGATGGACTATTACTTGGCCTGGTGGTAGCTAGCCATCTAATGGCTGACCAAATTACACTTTAATTCGGCCCGCAACACGAATGACTCAGGCAACGAACTTGCGCCCAGTCGGCATTAATATTGAAATGAAAATAAGAAAAGAAAAAAAAAAAGAAATAGAAAATTAAAAACTCATTATGCAAATTGCGCAGCGAGAATGCTGCACACAGTCCGAAAGTGGAGCGCCAACTGGAGCGTCCTATGCCGTGCTCAGCTCAGCTCAGTTCGGCTCCTTCTCAGCCCTTCTGGCCGCCCGCACAGTCCCGTCAGTCAGTTGATTTCTAAGACAACATAATTTGTTCAGCGTGTTGTTGTCATCTCAGATTTGTTGCTCTTGTTGTTGCTGCAGTTACACACTAAATTACATGCAATTACATGTTGTTGTTGCAGCTAGTTGCTGGCAATTGCCTGGCACCCGCTACGACTAGCCCGCACCCGCCGCCACCCCAACCCATTCCAATGACGACGGCGGACAGCACGCGGAGCAGATTGGCAGCCAACGTTGTTGTTGTTGTTGTTGTTGTTGTTGTTGCTGCAGCAGCCGGCGCTGAAATTAGCTGCATTTGTTGCCTTTGCCATTGCTGTTGCTGTTGCTATTACTTTTCCTGCTGCTGCTGCTGATGTTGTTGTTGTAATTTCGCATTGTTTGGCTAATCTACGTAAATCTCATTTTGGAGGCTCCCACAATTACAAAAGTGGCAGCTGCTGGCGGCGCAGCGCGAAGGCGGCCAGCAGACGAATGGAACAAGGAGGGGACGAGGGGGGGCATCTCTATCTATTTGCGAACTGGGCCTGCCCATTTGGCAAGTTATGTGGCCGCTTCTCTAATGCCATTGAACTGGTTTGCGCTGAGGGTGCAAGTG